ATATTCGTGAAGCTATTTATCAACTCATAACGACATGGAACGATCAGAGCACGGTGCTTGCCGCAACAGTTCGCGCTGTAAAGAAGAACGCTGAGGAGAATGGTGTCGTTTCTGAAGTGGGCTTGGCGATTCCTCGAAAGTGCCTAGTCACGTTTCACAGCATTCATTTCCAGTCTAACGATATCGGTCTGGAACGAATAGACGATCCATTCCCATCGTATTTACATCTTGGGCTCAAACTTCAACCGAGAGTTGGTGTTGTTGTTCGTGACATCATGGTATGCTCGTATTTCACGTATAATTCGACTGGAAAGTAAATATTCTCCTTCAGGACTCACGAGGGAATTACAAGCCCGATATAGGCAGTATAATTGCGTATGCGCTTTCTTCAGCGGATTATGAGGTTAGCCTCTCAAACTGGTATTACCAGGCTAGAATCGTCTCCTAACAAGGGAATGGTTTCAACTTCCCATGGAACTTTGAATGGAGACCTAGGTACATCGATAGAGTCTCGAATGCTGATTACGAATATGCAGATTAAAAGTGCTACGGGGACCTCCCAGACGAGTTCTGGGCGGTCAAAGTTTGCGAAAACTCGGTTTTGGCTCGTAAGCGCTGCTGATCGATCATGGGTGGCCTAGTGGTAACGGTCTCGCTTCAAAGCCAAATGCTCGTGGGTTTGCATCCCGTTGGCGCGAAAACTTTTGCTTCGTCTCCTATAAGGGCTTTTACTCTAATTTTCGAGTTTACGGTCTAGCAGAGCAAGCAGATCAAGTAGATCAAGTATATGACGTAGTCGATCGAGTATGGATTGATCACTATCTGCCCTCTGTGAACACATTACCCATCCGACAATTCGAAGTTTTGGCCAGAATCACAATTTGGCCAGAAACTGATGACCACAACAACGTGGAAGGCTACAAGGGTTTCTCGTCAAACGGATGTGATATTCGTGTTCAGGGGCCAGAATACCCCACGAACGAGTTTCTGGCCAAAACTTCGAACTGTCGGATGGGTAATGAGTTCAGAGAGGGCAGATAGTGACCAAATCCATACTTGATCGAGTACGTCATATACTTGATCTACTTGCTCTGCTGAGCCGTAAACTCGGAGAATTTCGAAAATTAGAGTAAAAGCTCTTATAGGAGACGAAGCAAAAGTTTTCGCGCCAACGGGATGCAAACCCACGAGCATTTGGCTTTGAAGCGAGACCGTTACCACTAGGCCACGGCCGCACTGTCCGTGATCGATCAGCAGCGCTTACGAGCCAAAACCGAGTTTTCGCAAACTTTGACCGCCCAGAACTCGTCTGGGAGGTCCCCGTAGCACTTTTAATCTGCATATTCGTAATCAGCATTCGAGGCTCTATCGATGTACCTAGGTCTCCATTCAAAGTTCCATGGGAAGTTCAAACCATTCCCTTGTAAGGAGTAATTTCTCGTTTGCTATGACATCCGATTGCAGGAGAATCGCCGGAAGCAGCGTGATGCTGCCAAGGGAGAACAGCCTCCACTCAACCTCAATTCAAACAGCATAGCATCAGACGAACAGGCGTTGGCCGCTGAACATCTTGAGATAGAGTTCCAGGATAATCAGGCTTCTTATTACGTCAAAGTGCGTTTTCCATCAGGGCACATCATCACTAAGCAGTCATCGACGGACAGGTCATATTCAAGTTAATGGGAGGGAAATCTTGTATGGCCTGGTAAGGTTTATTGACGCAATTCGGCTTGGCGGGGTCACCAAATTGCATCCAGACAAGTCAGTCACTTTGTTAAGACCTAAGAAATCTTGTAACCTGAGTAGCTCACTTGCAGCATTCAGTAGCTTCACGGAAGTTCACAGGTTTCATCTAAATACATCGGTAATCAGCATGAAATTGCGAAAGGAACTGACAAGAGCGTGATATACCCCTCCCAAACCAAACAGAGACATTTTTGGTAGCTG